GTTGGAAAGGGAATATGTTCATTAATTATTCAAATATTTACTGAGCATCTACTACACCAGTCTCAGTGCTCTGTCCACAGATGCAGTTGAAGCATGGGTGAGAAAAGCGGGGTATTCCTTTGGTACAGGAGGGAGATCCATGCAGGCTGACCCCAAGTTCTCCACCCTTCGATGTACTGCCTACCAACCAACTCAAGGACCTATTTCTTCTCAGATTGCCCTTGTCTCTGAGCCACTACCTAGCCAGCTGTTTCCCTGAGTCCCTCGACACCACACAGACCTCCTGGAGTGGGATGGAGCTATTCATCACCATTCACCACTGCCCTGGGGACAGATTTGTTTTGTTTCCAGATTGCAAGTTTTGAAACAGTGACCTGCAGAAGAGCCATTTTAATCTCTGTAATTTAAAAAAAAAAATTTTTTTTTTAAACGAAACATAGGAAATGTGGCCCAGGTGTGTTTGTTCCACCCATCTATAGCTGAAAATTCATACACTTCGCAGAAGGCGCCAGGGTTATGTAAAGAATAAGGGCAGTGAAGTGAATTGTTTAGGTGATGAGAAACCAGACAGGCCTCAGCTTTGCAACCATGTCCAGTGGGCCCAGTATGTCTAAGGTATTTCTCACTTAAAGAAGCACATAATGGTGGTTTCCATCTGTGATAACAAGGGACTACTGGAGTTCCAGCTTCCTTGATATTTCATTGAGTTTGACTTTGTTAAAAAATAAATATATCACATTTCATATAAAAGAAAATATGGATTATAGGAGACAAGGCATATCTTGAAAGATCTCACTACCAGACACCTAGAAATGCTAGAAATATATATATATAACAAATACCCCCATTTAAATGCATAGTTGAGCTCACAAAAAGTAACAGAAATCCCCAAGGAAAGCCAGAGCAGAGTCGTAAACCAGCATGAAATGTACAGCTGAACTCAGCCAGAGGGCTGGCTCTTAGGAGTCCTTTGAAAGCCAGAAAAAGAGATCCCAGGCTGTATCAGGTAGGAAGGCGAGCCAAGGACCCTCAAAGTGCTGCATCTTCATTGAGAAAGTGGACTGGAAAACCAGTTACCTGCAAAGACTGAGGACAAGATGAAGCAAGCATGTTGGATTCAGCATAATACCAGGTGTGTGCTTTCCTGGATTTATCATTTAAATTTACCCTAACTGTGTGGTCCAGGAACCAGCCCCCTCAACCCCAAGTCAAAAAATAACAAAGCAGTCCTGGGTTGGAAGGGCCTGGGGACACCTGACAGGGCCTATGCAAATCTTCAAATGGATGTACCCTCAACCCCAAGCAGAGATAACCAGATCAGCGATGTGAATGTAGAAAAACAGCTAATAGATGCGTCCCAGTCCAAATTAAACAACTGTGCCCCGTCTTCTTTTTTCTAGGAAAAGAACATTGCTTTCCTAGCTAAGTTAATGTTGCCTTAAATACAGTGGGGAACACAATAAAATTCTCACTGATCCCCTGGAGACTAATCTGAAAGGACAGGATGAGACCACTAAGTGCTCGGGAGAAAGGGAAGCCAAGTAGGGCTGCTGTTGCTTTGTAATAACGAACTGGAGATCAGGACCCTGACAGCGTTACTGATTTCCTGGGAAGGCCCAGAGAATGGATTCAGAGCAGCTGTCACATGGAGACTGTAATGATCGGGCGTTAGTGACTGAGCTTTATAGGCTGGCAGAACCATAACTGTAACAAAGGCATCTTTAGAGTCAGTCATTTGAATAAATGCAGACAAAATTGATAGTTAGTTTTAATTGCTATTTAAGTGCATTTTGTCCTGGCAACAGTGTCGGGTGCTCAGTTGACTGTTTCTAATTTATGTTGTCACTATGCTTCTGGCTCACACAGGGGAGAAGCCAAAGTTAGACTGTGTCTAAGTCAGCAGCAAGCCAGAGCTGACAAGGCCAGGAGGTGAGTCAGGTCTCGTGGCAGATGTAGGGCCACACTCTAAGACGTGGACCTTCAGTCCATCACGACAGATCCTTGCTCTGCAAGGATGCAACATGGGAAGGAAGTGCAGGCAGAAAGGACCAAGTGCAAGGCTAAGGGGGCAGGGTTAAAGGAAAGCAGGAGCGGCCCCGGTCATCCTGCGCCAAGGGCACAGGTGGAACAAGGGGAAATCTACCCAGAAACGAAAAGGAACGTCTCAGGATCTGGGAAAGGCAACGGATCCTCACAAAATGCAGATCACAGATATCTGGTCACCCCAGGAAAGGGGCCTCATCTCTTACTTGGTGATACAGTGAGGATTGTGGCTAAGAGACTAGTAGTCTGGGTGGCTGCTTGGAGCAAGGTACTATCAGAACAAGGTACACAGAACTCAAATGTTTCCTAACTTTTTAGTAAAAATTCTGTGTCTTTGTAAGTAAGAACTTGAATAAAATATTTTTAAATCCTTTAATGAAAGAATGTAAACTAAAAAAATTGCTTTAAAAAAAAAAAAGCTTCTGTTAAAGACTAAAAAGGCGATGTGACATTCACATCATCTAAGACTGTCTTTGACAGATTGTTCCAGTACACTTTTCTTTTTGTTTGTCTTTTTAGATTAGTAAACAGGAATTATTAGCATTTTTATACAGTACTTAAGCATCACTGTAAATGTTTTCATAATTCATTATCTAACCACTTAATTTTCAGTTTAGTGAAAGGAAATGAAAACATTCTAAATGAGTTTTCCTAAGTACTGGGTGAACACAGCTAGAAATAGCTGCTGAATATGATTATAAAATTTGGTTTGAAAAGAAATATACCTCTGTAGGCGGGTAGAAAATAAAAGTCTGTACTTCAATCTGAACAGAAAACTTTCCACAGCAGTAAGTGTAGCAGCCATTCCGCAGGGTCTCAAAGCAGGTGATTATATGTGTGGACATGTGGGAAAATCTCTCCTATATGGGAATGAAAACACTGCCACACACTGTCGACTACTGGATACGTTTCACTGAAGAACTCACCAGCGCCTACTAGTCAAGTCACTAGAGGTTTCTTTTGGTTCCAGAATATATTATAAAGTGCTACCATACGAATGAATGGCAACAACTATTTAAGTAGGATGCACTGTAAATAGTAGGCTTATTTCTTAAACAACCACCATCAATAACCAATATCCAATCTTTCTTTATTCTACTCATATGAAGTTCATTTTGGATTTTAACCATACAAAAATATTAAATATTCACTGATTGTGCACATTTGAACTTCTGTTACTTTGGACTTAGTTTGGCTGAAACAGAAATAGAGTAAAAGTGATTATGCAGAATGTGCAGATCGAAGTTAATCAGAAAAAAAAAAAAAACAGCCTCTCAAAGGCAAGGGCATTCCAGAGCTGCACCAGCAAAAGCACAAGGATCCTGGTACCTGCCCAGACCTGACATCACTGAATCAGTCACAGCCGCCTAGGCACCAAGCATTGTGCAGTGGTTGAGAGTCCGCCTGCCAATGCAGGGGACACGGGTTCATGCCCCGGTCCGGGAAGATCCCACATGCTGCGGAGCGGCTGGGCCCATGAGCCATGGCCACTGAGCCTGTGCGCCCGGAGCCTGTGCTCCACAATGGGAGAGGCCACAGCAGTTAGAGGCCCGTGTACTGCAAGAAAAAAAGAAAAATTAGCCTACAATGCTCCAACCCCATCAATTGTCCTGACCTACCCTTTTCCAGAGACACCACAAATGCTAAGAAATCTGTCACAAGCATCTACACCTTGTTCTGGAATTCTTCCAGGACTGCCTTCTACCTACCCATCCTGTTACTTGTCCCTCCATGGCTTGTTTCCAGCCCCTGTTGACACCCAGTTTTCACTCCATAGGAAGATGCTCCAGTTTTGTTCTGTTAAATAGGCTTTGAAACGGCCACTCGTTCAGGGTGTCACTTTCAGAATCTTCCTGTCTGCTTCTTGCACCCAAACCATGAGAAAGAGGAGTCATTCCTGAATCCCAGGCTCAATGCCTGGAGAGAGTCTCAAATGCCCCGAGCTGGGGAAGGAACTGTACGACGAGAAGCCAACGAAAATGACTGCATTCAGCAAACAACCTGGATCCTTCCCAACTAATCCAAACCCCACCCTTTATTCCCTGCACCATTGCTATTCAGCAATGGTGAATCTATTCAGCTATTCAATCTATTCACATCTATTCAGCTCCTGACTTCCTGAAGTTTGTCTGCCTTTTCTATTCCCAAACTTACCCTTTAAGCTTGACAGATTCAATTTCCCTGGGTTTAAACCTCAAAATCATAGAATACACGTAAAGGTACTCTTCTACATCATTAGGTTTCTAACTACTAAGAAACACTCCATCAACCACAGCCTGATCTCTCCTGCTGTTTTATTTAGCATTCATTCCTCCACCGCCACCACTCTGTTTCTCCCCCTCTTATCAATCACCCTCCCCCCGCCCCACACACACAATTACGGGAGGCACAGGACAAGGGCACTGGCAATCTCACCATCCTCTGCATTCACCAGTCCACATCTGCAGCACCGTGCTCAGTTAAGATTTTAAGAGGTGTTTTAGCAAACTGGAGAATGAAGGAAAGTCTAAAAACTGCCCTATGAGGACCAGTTGAAAGAACTAGAAAGGTTTAGCTAGAAAACAGCCCTCTTTAGATCTTTCGATTGTTACAAGTCCTTAGTAATTTGACTATTCCAGATTGATTTTAATGGTTCTCAATAATTTGATAACAAGTGTTTGCTGTGGTAGCCGACTTATTGGTATTCGGTTCCCTGTCTTTTTTTTAAAAGGGGGATTTTACTTTAAGCTATACTTTTTCTAAAACTACAAAAATGAATTATTTGGGGGAAAAAATGCTGACTACTACATTGAAGATTTCATGGAGCTACCGCTTCCAATCATCTGATCACTTCAGATGGACTAATAATGTTAGATAAGACCTCTTTATCAGCAACGCATTGCATCCCACAGCACTGATTTCCATATTCAACAAAACCTCTCTTTGCATAGATACGTGTGTAAAAACAGAACATCCGGTACAGAGGCCAGAGTGCCATCGAAGGTAATTATTGAGACAGTCAAGTTCTTTTAGGCCAGCAAAAATAAGATGCTGGAGGTCTTGGGGAATTTCAGAACCTGATTTCAAAAGGATCATACAGGGAGGAAGTAGAATTTAGCATGGTGGACTACTCTACAGCATACATTTGTAAGTATGAGATTCTATAAAATAGTTGATGAATACAATAATGTTCGCTTGATATAAATGACTAGTGGATGTTTATTTCAAAAGCAGAAGTGTTAGCAGGTTTCTTCTAAGGAAAACAAAGAAACAAACTAGTAAACACACTTTGTGTGGCCTAGGCTTTGAATACTCAAAACTTAAAAGTCACTCATGTATAAACGAAGCTTCTAAATTGAGCAGTAAAGTTTAGAGTATGGTCTTTCATTTTATGTGTTTCTTGTGTGTATGTGTGTATATATGTTTAGATAAAGATACATTATAAAATCAGGAACTTCAGAATTGTTTGTTTCAAAAATTACGCACTACCAATGATTAGTTCCATCATTTAATTAGCTGTACTGATTTCAAGTGTAGGTTGTTAGACGGTTTCTATGAAGTATTAACTTGATTTTATGAAATTTCTTCATTCTTTAATGTTATGCCTAAGCACAACTATTGCACAAATTACTTGTTTTCCACTTTTATTTTTTTAAGTTATTTATTTTTTAATTTATTCATTTTGTTTGTTTATTTTTGGCTGCATTCTTCATTGCTGCGCGCGGGCTTTCTCTAGTTGCGGTGAGAGGGGGCTACTTTTCGTTGCAGTGGCTTCTCTTGTTGCAGGGCACAGGCTCCAGGCACACGGGCTTCAGCAGTTGTGGCTCGCGGGCTCTAGAGCACAGGCTCAGTAGTTCTGGTGCACGGGCTTAGTTGCTCCGCGGCATGTGGGATCTTCCCGGACCAGGGCTCGAACACGTGTCCCCTGCATTGGCAGGCAGACTCCCAACCACTGTGCCACCAGGGAAGCCCAAATTACTTGTTTTTTAAAAGGCAAGAATTTTGTGTGCTATGACAGACAAAATCTCACTAAAGTAAAAAAGTTTTCTAGGTTTTTCTAAATCTTATGTGACATTATAAAATAAACACATTCAAATAACAACATTACATATGAACAGAATGTCAACTGCCTACCAGGATAATAAGAACATTTAAATATGTCAAAAGGCTCAATTTAATAAAATTTATTTATTTTCATATCACTTTGAGAAAGATTTCATTTAAACGTTACAGGAAACTTGAATCTATTCCTGGCATATTATATATCTAATTCAATTAATAACTAATGCATTTATAACCACTCTAAGAATTGGCTTTCATAGATAAAATATATTCTTTCTTTAAAATAATCAGGAAAAAACACTGGAGGTAAAATCATACAGACGCCTAAACTTGTTCCAAATATTCTATGCTTAGATAGTAACAATGCACACTAGTTTTACCACGAGGATATTGAAAAATTAAAAAAGCTAGGTAAATTAATACATAATATTAAATAAGATAAAATATTTAAAGAAAAAGCAATGGAAAATACAAATAAAAAGTATAGGAATTTTTATGATATCAATGCATGAAACTAATAAAATTCTAAATAAGGAGTTAATAAATCAAAAATGTAGATAACCATAATCCAGCACTTACAAAGTGGAAAAAATATTTGCTTAAAATGTAAGGCAGGGAATTTATAGAAATCTTTGCCAAATATGCATTCTCCAGGAAGCACACAATAATTTTTTTTGTTTGTTTTTGTTATTATTTTATTTTTAGGTCACTGGAATTTTTCTACATATCATACCACCAATATGAGGAAAAAATGATTATTGTTGGTGTGAAGCTTGGTGAGTTTCTCCAATTTAAATCAATTCTATATCTCATCAGTTTAAGTCATCCTTTCACAGGAAACTCTTTTCTTGCCAAACAGAATTGTAGTTCTGTGGAATATTTGAGGCTCATTTATATTTTTACCAGTAAATGACCATGTGTGCTCTAATTTGAAAGGTATAATTTCACTGCAAATGTTCTTAATTGGATTTAACTATAAGCAAAATAGATATGAGTTTATCAATAGGAATTTTAATCAAATTCTAGTTGTGAAGAACTATACTTTAAATTTTTTTTAGAATTTACTCCTTTTGGGATCACCAAAAATATTTCTTAAAAGTTTGCAATTGTAGGGCTTCCCTGGTGGCGCAGTGGTTGAGAGTCTGCCTGCCGATGCAGGGGACACGGGTTCGTGCCCCAGTCCAGGGAAGTCCCACATGCCGCGGAGCGGCTAGGCCCGTGAGCCATGGCTGCTGAGCCTGCACGTCCGGAGCCTGTGCTCCGCAACAGGAGAGGCCACAGCAGCGAGAGCCCCGCGTACCGCAAAAAAAAAATTTTTTTAATTAAAAAAAAAATAAGTTTGCAATTGTAAATATGAAAGTGTTTCACTCTGTCACTATATTTTGGTAACTGTAGATGTGGATGCACTACTTAATGATAAATATTGTTGAACGCAGGACTGCAGACATTTCCTTTTAAACCACCAGCTATTTTGGAAGTTCTCACACTTTGTCCTCACACTGTGAATTATATTTTCTTCATTTTGTCAGATGAAATTCCAAAGGCTGCCTTTTCTCTTCTCCTTTTAGAGGTATGAGAATTTTAATTTCTATTACTTTGTCTGCTTTCCATCTTCCAGAATTCGTTCGAAATATTGTGTTTTCTGTCTCCATGTTTAATCTGCCTTTTCCTTCATGTTTAAGCCTTATACATTCCTTTACTATAATTTTAGCAGTGTCAGTTGGAAGAAGTAATAAACTCAGGAGTTCAATCTGTTCTATTACCAGAAACTGGGTTAAATAATTGTGCATTTGTCTCTTGGTTTCAACGCTGAAGGCATTATGAGGACATGGGGAGTGTTCTGTGATATTCCAGCAAGGTGGAGGTACACAGTGATAGTGAATCCAGCAGTAACTGAAAGAGGGTATGCAGGTGTGCAAGGGACGTGAGGTCCCAGCAATCTTAGAAGATGAGCAGCAGGTTTCCAGTCACTGGGACAGCAACCAGCAAGCTGCATTTCTCAATGGACTAGAAAACCAGAAAGCTTCACAAAACAAGACTATTTTGTGATCTGATTTTTCTATGTAGAAAAATCATCTTGTACCCAATTCTGTCACTAAGTATTAATTGTTGATGCTTTTACGTCATTATATTCTATTGGCATTCCATAATTTAATAAATCTGTGAATGTTTGACTTAGAATACAACAACATATAAACAACTACTTATACATGATTATCAGATAGCATTTGCACATAACAGCAGGAAATTTATACTCTAGTAAGAGTAAAGTCAGAAATATAAATAACATTATTTTTATATATTTGTATATATTTTTGTATATTATATATATTTATATTCCACTCCTTTTCCAACTAATGAGCCATCTGGGCCAGAGAACCTCCCTCTGCATCAGTCATGTAGCTGAGCACAGGGCTGCGACTCGTCTATATGGAGCCTTTGCTGGAATTTAAAAAGGTAGCCTTTCCACCACATGGATGAAACCCCACTTGGGGGCCACAGCCTGGAAAGGGAAGTGTGGGTGGATCTCAACCCTTCTCTCCTCCAGACCAGGCATCCGGGTTGGGGGACAGCCTGCATAATTGTACATAAGCGGAAGCTCTGGCTGGGCTGTCCTCTCGCCCCTTCCCCTCTACCCCTCAAGCTTGCCAGGGCTCTTCTGGCCAAACAAATCCTTCCTGGCGGCCCCATCCCTTCAATAGGGTACACATGCCACATGTGTCTGAAGCTCTGCAGCAGACCTAGCTAATTATAAAGCTGGAACCTCAGCTACTAACATAATACGTGAACAACAGAAAAATAGGAACACAAGAGCAAACGAAGGAAGGAGGATTTGCAGGGTGTGCTGACACACTGAAGAATGAATAAGATTAATTGGAAAAACTTATGAGGTCTGACCTGAACTTTAAAAAGAGGAAGGAATGCAGTCTGACAGAACGTGTGCTTCCTGTACATACATTAGAGCTTAGGAAATATTTCCTGAGCGACAGAGTGTAAGAAGCTGAAGGACTGATCAGATTAACTGGAACAGAAAGTTTTCGCACACATGCATTTTTCTCATATTTACAGTTCCATTTTAGAGAAGAGGAAATTAGGAAACTGAGAGTTTAATTAATATGCCCAAGTTCACACAGCTAGTAAGAGCCTGAACTCAAGGATATGTCTGTTTGGCTTCAGAGCCCAGGATTATTTTAATACACACTGTCACCTCTCAGGAACTGCGGGACTCCCCAAGACTCTAGTGCACCCAGAAATTACTTTACCTTTGCTGTGCTGCTGACCTCCGTGGGTGGCGCACACTAAGACTGCTCTGCTTCTGTCAAACAGGTGCATTCAATTTAGAAAAGAAAATATGATGACTTATAAACAGACATGAACTTTAGATACACAGATCACCAATGTGTGCAAATAGATCCAGTAGATCAAGTGAGGAGACGATGAGATATAAAAACGATTGTTAGGGCTTCCCTGGTGGCACAGTGGTTAAGAGTCCGCCTGCCGATGCAGGGGACACGGGTTCGTGCCCCGGTCCGGGAAGATCCCACATGCCGCGGAGCGGCTGGGCCCGTGAGCCATGGCCGCTGAGCCTGCGCATCCGGAGCCTGTGCTCTGCAACGGGAGAGGCCACAACAGTGAGAGGCCCGCGTACCTCAAAAAAAAAAAAAGATTGTTAAAGTACAGCTTGGGGGACAAGTCCAGGCCCAGGAGAAGACAGAGATGACCAGCGACACTGACAGAAATGACACATGAAAGAAAGAAGTTGTCTACCATCCTCCTACTTAGAAGATAAGCAGAGAGCCATCAGGTATAATCCGCATCTTAGAGGTGATTACAGAGATGAGGAATCTTGAAACTTGAGGGTGCAATTACACACAGGATCAGTTAAGGACAGCCAATCGCTGCAACAGTTTTCTCAGCCTCAATTATTTCAGTGTTAATCAACTTCAGTCAGATTTGTCCTTCTAGAAAAAGACTTATTTTCATCACAGTATTATTGAAAGACCTCAATGAATTATCCCTATCAACAGGGTAGAGCCCAGCATTGAAGGCCGTCCAGAATCTACCTGCACGAACATATTCCCTATAATAAACTCTCCCTTTGGCTTAAACTACAGTGAATCTATATATGCACTCAAGAGTCCTAATTTTGTTCCATCCTGTAGATGTATTTAGCTTCCTGTCCCTTGGTTCTCCTCACAGCAAAGACCCACACAGAAAATGAAGTCCAGCAGACCACAGCACCCATAAGTTCTTATCCCCAAACCTGCAAATATACTTAGACCTGCACCTGTGCCTTCCCTGCCCCTTCCGATTACAAGGGGACAGTAACTTCCTCCTATGCTTCCACTGGGACATCTCCAAAGTCCGACACCTCCCTTCTGAATCCCACCTCCTCCTTCGTCTTCAGAAACCTGAAATTCTACTGATTTTCCCTCCTTCTCCTATGTCTTCACCCTCTGTCCATGGCTACCACGGCCAACTTCAGGCTGAATCACTCGCAGTGTAGACTTTATGAACCATGTCCCCAGAGATGTGCAGGCCAGGTCTCCATTTCCTTTTATTTTTTGCTGCTTGTTTCTGCCCTCCCCACTCCACTGAAACCACTCTCACCGGGGTTATAGATGACCTTCTTGTTCACAAATCTGAGGGATGTTTTCAGTCCTTTGCTCTCTTAATATCTACCCAGGTCCTAACACTCAATTAGCCATTTTTTTTCCTTCTGATAACTCCTCCCTTGGTTTCTATCATAGCATATTATTCTGATTTTCCTCCTGCAGGGCCCTCTGTCTCAGTCTCTCTCTTAATCACATGTGTTCATTCATCTGTCTTGAGCCACCCGCTCTTCTTGTTTTGTACTGTCTCCTGGACCATCTCATCTTTTCTTTTGGCTTCTCTTATATGTTTTATGAAAACTGCCCATGTTTACCTTGAGGTTGAACCTCTTCCACCTGAACTTGTTTCCTTTCCTTCTCCTACCGGGTAGAGTCAATACACCAACAAGTTCGGATAGTTCCTCCGCTAAAACACCTGAAATCTATCCCCTTCCCACCACTGCTACTGCCACCTTCCTCACCGAAGCTTGTAACATCCCTCACCTGGACTCCTGCAGTCACCTCCTAACTGGTCTCCCTCATTCCACCCTGGCCACCCTACAATCCATTCTACTACAGAACCAGTTTCAAATGTTAACACGTCTATTCCATATTTTAAAACCTTCAATGATTTTTCAGCTTCTTACTATGAAACTGATGGTGTGTAAGGCCTATCGTGCTTGGCTTCTGCCTCTACCCTTAAGACTTCATCTCCCACCACTTTCTTGCTGCAATGAACGCTTTGGAGCCTTTCTCTCTGAGCTCTCTCCCTGCCACACTCTGGTCTCATGTAGTGACCACATTCCTCTCATTTCCTCAACGAGGACTCAACCCATTGCCTCCTGACCTGGGCCCAAGCTGCCTCTCTCCTTCACTCAGCACATTCCTGCACACCCTGTAGTTCTAGCTCAGCTACTGCTTTACCGGGATGCCTCCTCTAACCACCCCCGGGTCCGGTTAGGTTCTCCTCGCATGTGTACTCACGGGCCCCTGTACTTCCTGTTGCAAAGTCCCCACCACGTGAATTTTCACTGCTTGTTAGTGAGGATGGGAAGAGGAAAGACGGGACCTATGTAGACCCCCGGCAGCCAGAACCTGGTACATAACAAGTGTTCAACAGATGTTTCCCATGAACCAATAAAGACTGATATTAAACTCACTCTTTATCCTGAATATCTCACTGCAGATAAGTGTGAATATATATTTAGCAAAGTATTTCCGGCTCTCATTGTAAAGTGTGGATTTCATCATTTTTAACAAATGTTTGAGTTTTTTTTTCTCAAAGTCCTGAGTTAAAAACCTTCTGTGCCATACATTGTCGATAAAGCCTGGGCTGACTAACCTCTACCTGAATTTTAAAGTCAAAGTCACGCTGACCAGAGTGGGGAAAGCCAGGAAGGCAACACCCCACTCAGCATCCGCCCTTAAAAAGGCTTCCTTTTGTATTTGGCTGTTTACACTATTTTGTTTGGTTAATTACAAAGAGGCCAATTCTTGTTCAGTATATTGAGAGATCTTTCTATAAATAAGACTTCTCCAAAGTGGGAAGACTTGGGAGTTGGTGAATTCATTGCTGGGAGCCCCTGCATGGAAAGATCTTTTTCAGAGAGCTGTATTTTTTGAAAGCTGTTATTAGAGGACGGGTGGGCCAGATGAGTTCTAAAATCACAACTCAAAGCACCTATATTCCTATAAAATATTTATGAGATGAGTCATTTTATTCTCTTCCCTCCTTCCCATCCCCACCAGTGGTTGTGTTCCATTAACTTCAAGAACCCATCCTTATTTTTTTATGATTTATAACTTTGTCTGTTCTTTAGAAATTGACTCTAATATATAATCATTTTAAATCACTAGATTATACTAAGTATATGCTGCATTTCTTTAGAAAAATGAGCAGGCGGAATTGTTGGATTTGTAAGATGTGCAGAGATGACTCTAAGAGGCCTCCTTCAAAGTAAGTAGGATGTAAATTCTATTACCGTTATCATGTATATTTATCACATGATAAGTAGGTGTATGTTTATTCAACTGCTGTCTTAGTATATTTTGCTCAGAAAGTAAAATTTGCATTTACACGTAATTCCACTAGAAGGGCAACCATGCGTTACACTAAGGTTCCATTTTCATTATTCATGGTTTACACTTGAGAATTCAGCAAGGTTAATGTTTTTAGAGAGTCTTTTACAAACAAATATTCTTAGGTTTTTTTTAAAAGTCTTATATTGTTAAAATTTTATATGTTAAAATGAGATTCTTTCATCCAAACTATTTACATGGTTCAAACCCTCTGTCTACAAAGTGCCAGACCTTCCTCCGTGGTTGGAAGAGGTGAGACTGGAGGGGTAACCAAACGCTCACCAAGCTCCCAGGCCTCTTCTACATTTTGCCATAACTCAAAGTGAAGCCATTCAGGTGGGGCCAGTGGCTATACTAGAATGGAAAGCAGAATGCCTGAGGAGGGTAACAAACCATTTGACTGGATTTGCTCACCCTGAAGAATCCCTAGGCCGAGGATCCCTGTTAGGTTAACCTGAGAGCCTGACCTCATCTGCATGGAGACTCAGTCGTGGCCACACATCCCTGCTACGGTCGGAACTCCTGGTACGCAGGCTCCCACCCTGAGGTATCCAAATATCCAAAAATGCAAACCAGCTACTGTGTGTTTGGAGGATGCAGAGTCTCCAGTGGTAGGCGGGAGAGACAGGAAGACCCAAAGCTCAGCATTTCAATTGACCAGCTGAGGCTGCTGAACTGCACAGGCCTGTGTGAGGAGGAAGACGAGAAGGCTGGTTTGGGAAGAGCTTCCTTCTCTTCTGCTGACGATTCCCATAGAGCATCACCATCAACGCTTGCCTTCCTTCTACCTGCCCTGACACCCACCATCAGGGCCGGCGAAGGCCAAGGAAAGAGAATTCACATTCCTCACAAACCAAGAGATGATAGTCATTTGATAAGTGCTTAATGTTCTTGACCTAACTTAATGTTCAGGGTAACTTTGTGGATAATAAAACTGAGGCTTGGAGATTTTAAGTTAGACCAAAAGCTATGAAGTCCAGCACAGGAATCAGAACCCAGGACTGTCAGACTCCAAACACTCCTCATTCCTCTCTCCGCAATGTTGCGATGTCTCAGAATATGCTCCCGTATCTGTTTGGTGCCTGCTCTCTCTCTGTCCAGAAGAAAGGAGGGGACACAAAAGTGGAGTCTGTTATTAGAAACTCCAGTGGATGAGGGGACAAAGGTGTTTAGAATTACCCTAAGGGAAACTGGTAGCCACGCGACAGCATGAAATTGGTGAAATACTCAGGAAAAATTACAAGCAAAAATGGGATTAAGCCAAAACCAAATTTTACTTCACAGCTTTACCCCCAACCATAATTACCCCAATCACAATGCATCTCCATAAACTCATGACCCTTAGAGGCACAGGTACTCCCTTGCCAACAATCACCAACACCAAACTTTGAGCTAACCCAGGACAGTGACGGTGTCTCCTCTCACGCTGTAGCTTTTCTTCTTTCCTATATGACAGTTAGGTCTGCAGGGCACCTTGCCAAGCCCTTTTCATTTCGATGGATTGGAAAAGGTGATTTTAGGTTTCTGTTTTTAAAAGTTCTAATACGAGAAAGGAACAGCGAGTCCGACACCGTTGCAGGGAAATGTTTGTTGAAAACGATCTCAGTGGCAGTGCACTGTTAAGCCTCAGTGCTGGTGTGAACGGTCCATCTAGAACTAGCAAGTACCACCTGAACTTTCAGAAAACAAAGGATATTTGACCTTTCTAGGACTCCCAATATTTTTCTGTGTCCCGGGTTACTTTTTAACCTCTTAATCTTCTTTCGTTGTGTTAAGTACCTGCTAATGCAGATGGCTGTCCCCTCAACACTGAGTACTCAGCTAACTATACCAGGTGATAGCCAATGGGCAGTGCTTGCTTGTATCTATAGTGGCTTTTGATTAGATGCAGTTATTAAAAATAGGAAAAGTAAGAACGTATCATAAACTGAATGGCAATGAATGGACTGAGGAGGGAAAGAAAGTGACTCTGAAGAACAGTCGCTTACCAATTCACCTCAAAAAGCCCACCAAAATGAAAGAAATGAAGTCTCGAAGCCAGTATCTTCCACAGATATTTTCAAAATGGTAAATAGCCTTTTTCATATGTTTAGGTCAAATGTAACTTGACATATTATTCACAGTGATAAAAACTAAAACTGTCAAGGTAAAAAAGTATAGAGCAAATAACTGACCAAGAAAATATTTATACATAATAAATACAAAGTTATGCATGCCAATAGGTTTTGTGGATAAACTCTAAGAGTCTAATAGATAAATGAGCAAACACATTGCTGGTGGCAGCGGCATACAACGTATAACCTTTTTAGAAGCATTGATTCTACTTCTGTTAATCTCTTAAGGAATTACCTTGACTGTGGGCATGGCAAGCCTCAATGACAGCTGGGTTATATTTGGTTTTATTGGTGAAAAATTAGAAATGATCAAAACACTCATTGAGAATAATTACGTAAACTATGAAATGCCCCCTTGTAGAATACTTCATGGTCACTATAAATGATACTGACTCCCAATGATTATAAATGTACAATTACTCATCTAGAGATAAAAGAATAAATATTTCCCTAATCAAAAAAATAAATAAATTTACAATTGTAAATTTACAATTATACACTATAAATTGTGAAGACATAAAAGGCTTATTAAAAGGGTATATATACATATATATATGTATGTGTGTGTGTATATACATGTATATACACACCCCACACACATATAAAGTATGCGCACACATATGCAGAGAATGATTACTTCTTGGTTAAAAGCACACAAACATGCATACAACCAAAAAACTAAAAAGAAATACATCAAAATATTAACAATGGTAATCTGGGCCACAGAGATTATAAAACTCTGGTTCTTTGTCTTTTAAAATTTATTTTATCAGATTTTCATGTTTTTCCTACTTTTATATTTTTATAATTCTAATCACTTAGAAAGTAAAAATAAAACGTAAAAGGTCACTGGGAAATAAATTTCCATCCAAAACTACACACAAATAGAGTATAACTATATTTGGGCATTATTTTCAAGATAGCATATTTCTATTTAGTTCAGAAAAAGCTTGAGAATATTTTAGTGCAATGAGCACCTTTTGTTTCTTTTCAAAGCCTTACTTTGGAGGAAGCATTACAGTGGGCCCAGTCTTTTGAAAAGTTGATGGCTACGAAATGTGAGTATCATGTACATATCATTTTTTAATAACTAGTCAGTTTTATTCTCGGAGGAAAATGAGGGAACTTGGTGATGTATGTTTGCTGCTCTTCTCATAGCCTTCTAAACGGCAACTGCCACGGTTAAAAAAAGAAACCTGAAAGTAGTTTGCCGTGTCAACCAGTACTATTTTCTTCAGTGTTAATTAAAGCAAGATTAGTCATTGTGAATACTTATTCTTCACAAGTATATGTGTAAAATCCCTTGGAAAATATGCTTAAATAGTAACACATACTGAAATATACTGCCTTCCTCTAGCTTTCTAAAGTTATAATTTAAAAAAAAAACTAACAATTTCCTCTTCTTAGTGCCTTTAGACATAAGAATAAATTTGAGTTTTGATATTCTAAAAATCCTCCAAGTTTGCTTCTAACTTTATCAGTGTCTGATTTAAGTGGGACTGCATATAAGTCCATAGTTAGTTATATATAAGTGTCAGAATTCACATGGTATAAATGGAAGATGATAGCAGTGGAGGTGAGGAAGATAAAGTCAGAGGCTCAACACAAGACAAATGAAGGAGCAGTCAACTGTGTCTGGGGTAGGAAACTGGGAGGCTGTAGGAAATGATAAACACCAGAAGACAGGTACAGAGAAAAATTAGGGCGCACTCAAAGAAAATTCCTCTGTTTGCTGAACTTGGTACTTTTTTCAAAATGCAGTTTGTTCCCCTCAAATGTCTGCTAATGATTTGCTCTAGACCTTTTTTTATTTGAGATTCCCTGTTAGCTCCTCTGTGAACGTTTAATCTGTTTACATCTATTGACTGTGGGAGGGGAGTTAGCTGTGATACCCAAGGTTTAAATTGGCAGGGGTGCCAGCAGTTATTCTGGGCAGGGTGCTTCCTGTTCCCCAAGGCTCGCCATGTTCCTGGGGTGCTGCCTGCTCTTCTCGACTCAAGGCCCCCCCCCCCACTCCTGTTCGGAGACAGCTGTCGCCACCTGGCCTCGAGGGCCATGGCACAGGTGCGGACCCCTGGCTACTCCTACTGAAACACCTTAGCCAGCCGGCCTGGCTCTTATTCCACGGCGCCCACAGTGCTGGGACCCACAGCTCCAGGCTCTATCACCACCTGAGGGCCCACCTCAGGTAGCAGCCCTCCCCAGTGGGCACTGAAGGCCACGCTTTCTTTCTCTGACGCCACCATCCCCGTCTCTCACTTTTCAGGTGTACCTCCTAGTTTGTGATCCGGTTTGCCAGCATGATTGCAAATTTTAAGATATGTATCGTTTTGGTCAATTTTAGGACATTGGTATAGGAGGAAGAGACTAAAGCGTATGTTCAGTTGGCTATCCTGACTGATCCTCTGTTAATAATTCAGAGTTCGTCCCAAGCCCCAGTAATCCATATTGTGCAGCATTGCCAGATTAATCTCCCTCTTGGAGTTTATTATTCTTCATCTGCAAAATGGCATAATATCATGTATCCTTTCAGCATTCCTGTGCAGGTTAAATATACACCCCCTCGCTCAATGCCTGATACAGAGGAGACACACAATGACTGAGAGTTATTTCTCTTAGAAATAAAGCGCTTGTCTTGAATAGCATTCCTTTTTCTCTGCTGCCCACCCAAAAGTCCAAAATCTCCAACTTGGTTTTCAGGACTCTATACCTAACCTAACGCACTTTCTAACACTTACCTCCAGCTCTGTCCCTACACGGGACATGCCCTTCTGCCCTTGTGATGTCTGCCCCATCTTCTACATGTCCAACTCTCCTGATTCAGGCTTTTGCCTATCTGTCTCCTCTATCTACCCTGCCCATCCTTAAAGGTAAAATTTAAGTTCCACTTTCTCCTCTTGGAAACCTCCTGGAATTATTTTTCTCTCTCTTTTCTATTTGATAGTATCATTATTTACTTTGCTTCTAATTATAGCAATTTCGTGTACTGGGTTTTTTCCCGCAGCTGCTTTCTCACTAGATTGTAAATTCCCTTAGCGCACAGATCACTTCTCATCCACCTTTTATCTTACCTCCCAGAGGCCGAAATTGTGCTTTGTACCTAATGGGCATGCAATAAATGTTCAATGAATAAATACAAGACAAATATTAGTAAGAAAAGATCAAAACGCCAAACCATATTGTGTAAGAGTTTCTGTGCCAATCCTGGCAGCCTCATAAACTAAGTGAATAAAGTTAATTACTCAGAAAAAATGTTCAAGTGGGATCTTGGCTAGAATTAGCAATTTAGAGATCTAGCATCATAAGAATAAGTAAAGTCTAAAGAAAAGATGAGGACAGGAAGACAGCATACTGCTCTTTACAAAAATCGCCAAAAACAGGGTACTAACCTTACCAGAAATTGAATTACTGTGAAATTCATGTAAAAATTCAACAATCATGTAATAAAAAGGTGATAAAACAAATCATTCTATGGGGCACGCAATCAGAAAGATAAAACTAAGAATACAAACATTAAATGTGCCAGAGAATAGACTGCGTTTACATTAACTAAGCACAGGAGTAAAACGCATCCTCTAGCTAAGACACACAGATGCCTCCACACAGATTAAAAAGCAATTTCTAAGAATATGTAGTTCAGAAACCCACATGGCAAAGATTCTCACAAGAGGCAAATTTTGAGCTGGGACTTAAATGACTCAGATTGTTGTAAAATGATAAAGAGTTCTGACTGTAAGTACTTTAAAGATAGGAAAACGGTTTTAAAAGAAGTTAAGTACAGTGAAGACAAATGAGTGCTTCTTTCAATGAAGAAATGTAATGTGTAGTATTCCTCTGGATTTGGTGTGAAGACTGGTCTCATTAAAAAAATCTCCACAATGAATTAAAGAGATAGTACCCTGCAGAAGTTCCAAGTTTACAGATGATAGAAAGTCCTTCAAGTTTCCAAACATCCAAGATTTTAGGAAAAAAATTATTTTCAAATGGGCATAAAAGTAGTAATAACTTTTTTTTTTTTTTAATTTTATTTTTGGCTGCATCGGGTCTTTGTTGCTGCCAGCGGGGGCTACTCTTCGTTGCGGTGCACGGGCTTCTCATTGCGGCGGCTTCTCTTGTTGCGGATCATGGGCTTTAGTCACGTGGGTTTCAGGAGTTGTGGCGTGTGGGCTCAGTAGTTGTGGCTCGCAGGCTCTAGAGTGCAGGCTCAGTAGTTGTGGCGCACAGGCTTCCTGGACCAGGGCTCGAACCCATGTCCCCTGCATTGGCAGGCGGATTCTTAACCACTGCGATACCAGGGAAGACCAATGATCCCCTAAAAGCTGAGGACTCTACAAACTGGAAAGGTCAAGACTAAAAAATAATTAAAATCAAAACTTTGATTAATCAAAGTTTTATATTTGATTTTGATTAAAATATCAGAAAAGAATGCCAGAAAAGAATGCAGAAGGCTCATACATAAATAATATTTTTTGGCCAAATCTCAAAATATGAGGATAGAGGTTTCCCACTAATATTCGAGTAAAGTATGCTTAATATAAATAAAAATAAGTTTAAAACGGCAACTAATGCCCTTGGATGAGTCATTCAATCCTTCCATGTGTCTGGCTGGCCTTCCTGGCACTGGACAGTACCTTGAAAGAGGCCTAGAGGGTCACTGTGCTCAGCTCATGTGCACCCTCTAGAGGGAGGAGAGAGACAAACAGGAAAGCCAACTAATAGCTTAATTAATTCCAGAACGTAGTAAGTACTTTGAAGAAACTAAAACCAGGTCGCATGACAAAGAAAGACAGGAGTAAGAGGGAAATTCAACGGGATGATTAGAGACAAACTGTCCGAAGGTGTAAAATTTGAGCTAAGAACTGAATGACGAGAAGCGGCCAGCCATACTGGGGTCTGGGGGCAGAGCGGCCCAAGCAGAGGAAAACCATGTTCAGAAGACCCTGAGATATGAATGAAGCTAGTGTCTTCAATTAACCAAAGAAATTCAGCCTAACAGGAGCACAGGGCCTTACAGGCCACATGAAAGACCTTAAATGAAAAGTAACAAGCATTAATGTGCTTTGAGAAATACCCTCTGAGGGTGGGGGAGGGCAAGGGAGGGGAGGAGATTAAGAGATACAAACTACTGGGTATAAAACACAGAAGACCCAAGGATGCAATGTACAGTATAGGGAATACTGCCAATGTTTTATGATAACTTTATATGGAGTATGATCTATAAAAATATCAAATCACTATGTTGTATCCCTGACACTAACATAATATTGTAAGTCAATAAAAGTACGCGCTAGTTCTCTTCTGAAGAAAAGAAGCAGAGAGACTAGTTAGAAGGCTATTTCAATAAACCAGGTAAGACTGGAACTCAGTAGGGAAGACAAAACCTGGAGTAATTAGCATATAGATGCTAATCGAAGCCATGGCCCTATGAGTTCACTTAGAGGGAGAGTTCAGAGAGAGGTGAGCACAGACCCAGACGTGGAGCTTAGATGCACACCAATATTTCCATATCCAGAGAAGAGGAGGAGTCTGTGAAGATGTTAAAGGAGCATCAAGTGAGTGAAGAATGACCAGGACAGCATATCATCATGGGAGGCAAAGAAGAGAGCGTTTCAGGAAGGGAGGGGTGCACTGTGTCTAAGGCTGCTGGGAAGTCAGGTAAGATGTGGAAGGAACAGCGACCATCGGGTGTGGCAACGTGAAGTCAATTGTGCCAAGATAAGAGCAGCCTGGGGGGCATGGTGGAGATGGACTGGACAAGAGGAAGCAAGGCAGATGATACAGGGAATTATTTACATAAATATTGCTGTGAAGTTCATCAGAGAAAAGCACAGAGACTGGAAGGAAGCGTGAATGCGTTCCACATTGGGCGTAAAGAGTCAGTAGTTGTTATTGGTTTTACTTGGGAAATAAAGCAGCATATTTGCAGACGATGGCAACCATTAGAGAGGAAGAAACGGATGACACAGAATAGAGTGGAGGCGACTTTAAGAGCAAAGGAGAAGTGCAAGGCAACAGGGAAAGCAAAATCAGGTGGGAGCCACAAATGAACTGTTTGGCC